CAACGTCATTTGCTTCGACCTGTCTTCACCAATGCGTCATCAACAACATCACTTCTGTAGCAGCTACAGCTACAAACAAATAGTACGTGCGTCATGATTTGTTCATGTCTCTAATTATGGTTGCCATTACTTGTGCAATGGTGCTGTACATGTTTTCATGTTCTTCTAGTATGCTAGATTGCTGCATGCTAATAATAATTTTAATCATGATTTATATTCTCTAAAGTTTAGTCTCGTACCGTTAGTGGGGAGGTGTGGTGTACATGATCTTAACCTTGCTCCTGCCTTAAGTCAAATTTCCCTCATGAGTTGCGTTTGTAGCACGGTCGATTGAAAGGCGGGGACAACTTATGGCTAAAAGGAAAAGCTGATACGTAGCACGCATCAAAGAGAGACTATGACAGCAAAGCTCTTGATCTGTATGCCCTTCTTATTCAAGGTACTTAAAGGTTAAAAAAATCTAAAGATATTTTTATGCACGGTTCTCTCTTCTTCCTCTTCTTTTTTTCTTTGCTTTTTGTCTTCAGTACATTGGCGTGTACACTCATGAGTCATGAATATGGAATTAATAGTATATATATAGTACTAATGTAAACATGGTTCCATACAATCCCGCTTTTAAAACTTCCGAAACACTAACGCCCACACGTGTGGGCGTTTGCATCTCGCCCACACGCGTGGATCCACGTTCGTTTGTGGTTGCACGAATTTTGACATGTTTGTGGTGCCATGTAGGACTGGGCTGGTGTGTGGGCATTCATCCGGTCGCCCACACGTTCGTTTTCACCACACGGAGGGACCGGTGTGTGGGCGTTTAGCAGTTCGCCCACACAGGGGCTGGTGTGTGGGCATTTATCAGTTCGCCCACACGCCCGTCTCCTCTCCCACACTCAAAGCTGTCAGTTGCCATGTGTTTTGCAGGGTACATGGCAACTACCCTAGTGTGCTTGTAAGCAGATGGCAACTCTCTCTTTTACCCGAACATGTCAGTTGTCATGTGTTTTGCAGGGTACATGGCAACTATCCTAGTGTGCTTGTAAGCAGATGGCAACTCTCTCTTTACCCGAACATGTTATTTTGCCATGTCTCTTTGTAGCGCTACATGGCAACTGCCTAGTGTTAGTAGGTGGCAACTCCTAAAATTTTCAAATCATGGCAACTGTAGTAAACCAGACCATACATGGCAACTGCCTAGTGTTAGTAGGTGGCAACCCCTAAAGTTTTCAAATCATGGCAACTATAGTAAACCAGACCATACATGGCAACAGTTGCAGTTGTTCAAAAATGGCATCTGGCACTTGACCTGAGATGGCAACTGCAGTTGAGCAACCATGGCAACTGTAGTTGTCCGACATGGCAATTGTAGTTCAGCGACATGGAAACTGCAGTTAAACGAACATGGAAGAGAGGTCCAGACCATGGAAACTGCGGGGCGCATGGTGACTGTCAGTCGGGGCGTGTAGGACCATGATGTAGGAGGCTTGACGTACGGACGTGTGGGTGTTATCTATTTCGCCCACATGTAGGCGTGTGAGAGGGACCGGGAGGAAAAAAATGTATGGGCATTACTTGTTTTGCCCACACGTAGGCGTGTGGGCTGATCCTCTTAGACACCACACAAAAGGTGTGGGTAGACCCCTTAACACCCACACATGTGGCAGTTATCAGCGTCCTAAAACTTAGCAAGAAAATCACATCGTTCAAGCTTTTCTAAAAAAAAAGTAGACAAACAGCGTATGCATGTAGAAAATGGACAAAAAGCATGACAATATATGTTTACTGTGTGTTAAATACGATCATTTGTGAGTTGTGCAAAAATAAAAATAAAAATACTTTGCTAATTTTCATCCATTGCGTTAGTTGCTTTAGCATCTCCAAGAAAGGCCCTCGAAGGGTCATTTGAGGGCACCCCCTACTTTCTCAGCCCTAAAAACTCTAACATTGCCCTTCATTTCTCAGCTTTGTAAAGAAAATCTTCTTGTTGCACATTTGCTCTATGTGACACCACAATAATTTGAACTATAATATGTCTACGCATAAAACTCAACAATGTTCAAATTCATAATTTTGAACACAAAAAAAATCAAATAATACTAGGAAATGTTCATCAAACTACATAGTTCATCCAACGTAGTCGGTGTTTTCAACAAAAATATAGTAAATAAACTACTTGGACACATATCATTCCAACGAGTGCTGAAAAAAAGATCATCTTTGAGTTGATCGCTTGTGTTGGCCACGGTCCGAGCCAAGGCTCATGTTTGATATATATTACCTACTGTTGTTTATCATTTTCATGGTTAATTAAAATTGGAGAGGGGCTCCTTCGTCGGAAAAAGGGTCATTTCGAAGTTGATCATGCGCTTATAGGGTTTTCCATCCTTCTCTAGACATCAAGGAATTCATCTAGCAGTAATGTGATGCAGATACTCCAAAGCCACATAGACTCCCATATCATTGCACTCAAAGTCTTCATTTTGACCCACACTCGCTCTCAATGATAACACAAACAACAGTGCAGACAAGGAGGCGATGCCGTAGCGACTTGCACCTTGTAAGGCTGGGGCACAGTGCAAGAAAACATGGAGAGCCGGAACAGTGAGAGGGTGGCAGACCACGGTGACGCTGGTGGAGGGAGACGGTCGGCACCGCCCGGATTGACGGGCGGGGTGGCGAAATCGGGCAGAGGAGAGGGGTGGGATCCTGGAGGGAGGAGGTTAGGAGGATGGAGTAGGGCGGCCTTGAACTAAGGGCTTGGAGGATTATTATTTTTGGATCCTCGGTTATGAATGTTGTAGGGGTTGATTTGCAAAAAAAAATGTAGTAGGGGTCATTGGAGTTGATTTTTTGTCCTTAGCCCTCAAAAAGTGATTTGAGGGGTGGAGTAGGGGCCTCTTGGAGATGCTCTTATCTTCTGCTTAACATGGCAAAACTGAGATAGAGCCATTGACCGCCCATGAATCAAGGATATGATTAGTAATATGGTTGGAAATTCTAAGCTAAACATTGTTCACGTTGATCCTGATATTGAAACTTAGCAAGAAAAAAAATCGCATATTTTAACTTTCAAAAATGTGCATGGCAAGGGATATATTCTCTTACCTTTTTGTAGGACAGCCGATGCTCCATGTGTATTGTCTTCTTTTACGCTGCACCGGCTAATTGGTAGAGTGCTCTACGTTGTGTGTACATATAGATATAGTGATGCGGCGCAAATGTAACATGTGGGGTGCTATATGCACGAGGTACAATTAATTGATCACTTATGAATGAAGACATCTTAATTATCCTAGAATTAAAAGGAAATGGCCATAAGTGATAAGCATATTCAAATTAAAATGCTGATATAAATGTCTCGGTTATGCAAATGTGCTCCTTATATTGACCTTTTTTAAGCTACAGCAGACAGCCGCACAGCTACTCTGCAAGGTGATTACCTTGTTGGATATTTATAGCTCTCTGAGTTATTTCCCTTTTTTGGTTCTTTTCATATTTTAACAAACTGATTTGTGTGCATGGTATGGTGTAGATCAAGGCGGGACAGTGTGTCTAGTTTCCATTACCTAAAAGATGGCATGCATGTAGAAACCATAATGTGGCAGCCTAGATGGTAGTAGGGGTACTGTTTAGATAAACCATCATTCATCACTGAACAAAAACGTGATATTCCCTAACAAGATCGCAGACACATATATAGCCAGAGTCCATATGATACAACTGATTCGGTGTTGCTTTGTACATTCTCTCTTCCTTCCTCTTCCTTTTTGTATGTAGAAGCTACCGGTGTACCCACATTCTTGATCCAACTCAGCTCACTACAGCCAGTGTAGCTGCATTTCGTCCATGGAAATTAATATGCCTCAGTAGCGATGGATGTCATTATTTGAACACTATAGTTGTGTTATATTAAGTTATACATGTGTACTAAAAGCATCCGCATCCCTAGATGTTAAGCAGAAGCTAAAGGTGAGAGAAATTGTTTAGCACTAGTGTTAAAGGTTTAGCACTAGTGCTAAAGGATGCATGTGAGGTAGATACTCACTGGCGGAGCTTCGGCAAGGCCGAATGGGCCGTGGCCCGCCCAACATTTTGACATTTGTACACTAATTCATTTACTCCTAGGCCTTGAAACGTCAGCCCACAGGCTACTTAATTCTATTTGTCCGATCAGCCCGCCCAACAATTTGCCTCAAGCTCCGCCACTGTAGATACTAAGATCAAAAGCTTAGCACTAACGCTAAGCTTAGCATCCAATGCTAAGCTTAGCAAAGTATGTTAAACTAATAGCTTGTGTGCCAATCTTTAATTTGAATGATAAATTTAATATATTTAGCACCTTCAAGTGGTGCTAGAGGATATGGTAAAAAAACACTTATCGAGGTGAATGAGAGAGAAAGTCGACACACTTATCAAGGCTGAAATCTATAATTATTTATAAAGATGCGGATGATCTAAGAAATCGACCAGTGGCCCCACAATGCACATATATATTTAAAAACATAAAATGTGTGTAAGTGACATCTAAATTAACGGGGGCATGTTCAGCTTTTAACTCTCGGATCGAGAGAAAGATGGTGTGTTTACCGAGGCTATAGGTGTTTATAGGGTGTGGATGCTCAAACAATGTAGCAATGGCTTCACACATTGTACATGTATAAACATGTACTCAGCTTGTTAACTGTTGGACCGAGATTATGTAATATAATTATATAAACCATTTATTAAAGACTTGATATTTTGAAAACCTCAATAAAGACATGACATATAGTGGACACTGTCTTGGTAGTTTTATTTCAGCAATGGAGTAATCTAGTCACTCGCAGAAAAC